CACCCTTCGCAATTTTCCACAGATGATTTCTACATTATTTCGTGTTGCTTCTAAAACCATTTAATAGGGTTTCCACAGAGCTCGGCCATCTTGCGAAGGAAAATAAGTGGTTCTGCTGCACTGGGGAAGCCAGAGGAGACGAGTCTCAGAAAGGTATCTGAATGCATGCTTTGTATTGAGGAGAAAAGTCACTGAGAGAAGAGTAAAAAATGCAGTTAGTAAATCAGAAATTATAATTCAGTTCTCTGCCCAGGAAATGCCACTTCCAAGTCAATGAAGTCCTGGCTGTACAATGTCCACGGCAAGGCACCAAGTGGTAACACCCTGCATCATGAGAGGCCAGATACAGCAACACGGTTGTAATGCTGTCATTGGTGGCACTTGTTTTAAGAGCGGGACCCTTTCAGTTAGTGACTGCTGAGTGATAACGGGCCCGTAGGTGTCTGCACAAAACTGGTTCCCATAAAACTTCTCCATTTTTGAAATTTCTCTTTTTTAGCTGTCTTGGATGTGGCAATCCGTTCTGGAGCCAAGGAGACACTCCTGTGCATTTCCATGAAAATAAGTCACTGTTTGGATGTTTACTCAGAACAGGATGAAAAATATTTAGTGATTTTCTACACCTCACTTATTGATCGTACAGCAAAGAAGTCTGACATTTGTGAGGTGTGCTTGTGGAATGAAAAACAGCACATTCCCAGTGTTCTTTTTTGGTTTGTAACTTTGATTTTGGTTTTTGAAAGTAAGAGCATGGTATCTATTTCCATTGTGTATTTTAATGTGAAGTGTTAACCTTACAAGGTCTTTAAGGATGCGTGAAAATCCGGTTTAACTTGTAAACAACAGGGAAAGACAGACACATACCAAAACCGAAAGGGAATGATAATAATGTTAGAAGTGATTTGGGGTTGCTGTTCATTATAAAAACTGCCCACAGCTTTGTATTACAAGACCATGGTTGTGGCAGCTTACAGCTGTGCCAAACGTTAATGATTAAGTTTACCATATCGTTCAGGTTGATTGATTGGTTTTTTTTTGTTGGGTTTGGGGTTTTTGGGTTGGGGTTTTTATTTGGGGTTTGTGGGGTTTTTAGTTTGTTTTGTTTTTTGTTTTTGTTGTTGTTGTTGTTTTAATTTCTGATTGATCAGCTTTAGCCTTTCCAAGAATGAGGTTTGGAAAAATATGTTGTTTTGCCCAAATTTAAATGTTCTGACAACTTTTTCTTAGAATCATTGTAGCATTCCCATGCTTTGAAGCAAGGCTTGAAATCTGGCAGGGGATTGGCCTCAACTTCAGCAATATGCCTTGTACCATCTTTCTGAAAGTCCACCTAATTTGGCCAACACATGCTTGGGGGGGGGGGGGGGAATCTCACTTGATAGGTGCTCAGTGGAAACCCTATAGATGTTAACAGATAAAGCCCCCAAGAATGCCACTGTCATGGAGCACGCTCCATCTCATCAGTAACTCCAAGAGACAATGGAGACTGAACATGTACCTGTACCTGAAATAATAGCACACCTAAGGCCAGCATTGTGGGATAGAAGCCAGTGTTTCACTGTAATAGCTACTCTAGGTAGAGTTAGAGCCAGCACTGAGAAGAGGGGCCATATCTGTAGTCTACGGGGCTATACCTGTATGATACTCTCAGGTTATGTTATTTCTGTGGACCTGCAAACATGTCCAAGATCTTGTATTGGTTATTGACCAGGTTGCCACTCACCCAGCTTCCAGAGGGGTGGGCAGAGGCTCTGTCAAGGTCTCTGATAAATCAGGACTGCAGATCACAAAACCTTGAGTAGTTTCTGCTCAGTCAGGGACACTCATGGTAAGGGTTGTTCAAGTTGGAGGCTTCAAATGCAGAGAAGATCACAACTGGAATAAATAGGAAAGGGATGGAAAGACTGAAGCAAGGGGCCTATTAACACTGGAGCTAGGAGAGCAAAACCTATTGGGGTTGGGATTGGCTGGACAAATAGGCTGGGAAAGGGAGCCAGGACAGGAAGCAACAGTAATGGAGTGAACACAGCAGAGATTCTGTGGTCAGACAACGGGATCGTCTGTGGAGCTCGGGCAGGAGGAAGCCTGGATCGCAGGGGATGATCAGACTGGAGGTGGAGAACAGGACTGGGAAAAGGAAGACAAATGTGGTAAGGAAGTGGTTATAGAAGATGGCCTAGGAACAAGAAGTGCCAGAGTGGTGATGAAGACGAGTGCCAGAACTGGACAAAAAGCTCAGGAAAGCTTAACTAGTCCTGTTGGCCAGTGTGAGAAAAAAGGTATAGACCATAAGTCAGAGAGCAAGCTATCAAGGAGGGACTGAGTCTAGTGAGAAAGTCTAGAAGGAAAGAGAAACAGGAAAGCAAGAATAGGGAGCAAAGAGGCTGGGGCATAAATCATTTAGAGGGCAGGAAACAGAACTGGCCAAAGTATGAAGAGGAATGGGCAGACCAACTGTGACCAGCAGAGTGCATTTCTCAATGACTTTCCTACAGCATCTGTAAAGAACTGTACTATTATGGGGCATCCCAATGGATTTCCAATTTGGATAAATGCGTTCACAGGAGAGCACTGTAGATGAGACTCCTTTAACACAAGAGACATGGCAGCCAACATGAAGGAATTCCAGTCTGGACTTCCTTATGATGTGTGAAGATCAATGGACTGGAAGTTGGTGGCTGCTTAGGGACATTTTTTGTGACCTGACTGTACTCAATACACCAAAACCAGTATTCCCTGTGTACTACAGGGACATATACTTGACACTTGAGAAAGGCTAATACATCAGGGTGATAAGAAACGTGAGGAAAACAGGGAGTAAAAGTTTGCAATGACACCAAGAAGGGTGTGTGAGAATACTCAGGTCATTATATGGTCAACAGGTCAAGCCCTCACAATTAGGAAAACGGGCAATTTGTCTGACAACTCATTCTGTGTGTGAGGCAAAAAGGAGCCATCCCTTAGAGGGAAAAGTGCAAATGGAAGGGCAAGAGCAACCAAACAAAAGGCATTATAAATTACCAAGTTATAATGTCTTCCCCACTATTATTTCTGGTAAATATTTGTATACAAAGGAAATCCCATGAGGCTCCAGAAGATCCTACATGGTGTAAGTCAAATCATGGAAAGATTTTCCACAGTGGATAGTAAGATTGCCTACTACAGTCTTTTGTGTAGAAGTCCTGAGCATGAGCTCCACACATGCAGGTGGCATCCCACATGTGGAGCACAGAAAGCCCAGGAGCCCCACAGGGGTCACATCAAAGAACTGGACCCTTCTCACTGTCCTGTGCAATCCAACATCTATAAACAGGAATAATTCCACCTCCACATCTACTTAAGGTGTTGTGAAAACAAAGCCCAGTGGTACAACAGTGGTAAGTACACCGGAACAGCCAGCAGGAAAGTGAATCCTCCATCTTCACATCAGGGTCTGAGCAGTGCTCCGTGAACAAGACACAGGGTCTTGTGCTGAGCACAGACCCAATATAAATAGCTGCTCATTAAGCAAGCACCACCTGCTCCATGAGCTGGAGGAGGCAGGGGTTCTGTGGGACACGCAGTGCAGGATTATGCTCATGTAATTAAAGACTGCCATAATGTGTGTGTGCACAGAGGGGCCAAACTGAGGCTCCACAAGGCAGCCTAGCAGTGGCCTTTTCTAGTTTCTCAGTGCTTGATTTTCCACCCTTAGTAATGAACTTCCACTGCAGTTTGTGCGTGTAACATCATTACGTAGTCTTTGGTAAGGGACCAAAGCTGATGTGGCACTGTGGAACTAAGTGGAACCTCTTTTAATTGCCTCTGAGACATCACTGGTGTGAAGCAAGACAAAATGTGGTAGAGGAAGTAGACAAAAGGAACTACAAGACCCCTCATATTCTACAACACATCCAGTGAGGAAGTGAGAAGAAAAGGAGAAATAAGAAATGACAAATGTGATGTTTATGTGAAAAATGCAAACAAGCCCCTGTTTGTCTCCCTAAGACCCCAAACTTTGTGGAAGTTTGCCTTCTGATCCTGGTTCCAGCTCTGTGACTCAAGCTTCACTCTCTAGATCTGCAGTTTATCTTCCTATTTATCTCCAAGACAATTTCTGAATCCTATATGAGTCATCAGTGGGTTTTATATAGAAACCAAAGAAGGTTCTTCCAGTCTCTCAGTAAGATATGCCGTGCTGCCAGGGAAGCACTTTCGGTTGTTCTGACGAGCAATTGTAACTGCTCTGAATTGCCAGAAATACTGTCTGAAGAGCAAAAGGATCATCCGCCATCTAAATCCAAACGGGTTTATAATGCAATCTTTGTGTCGCCTGAACGCGCTGATCCCACCTTGCAATCACCAATATTAAGCTTTGCAAACTGGCCAGATCCCAGTGGGTATAATTTTCAGGCTGGCTAAGTCGCAGGGTTCGAGTGATGCCACTCGGGGGCTCGGAGCCAGCGGAGGGGAGGGGGCAGCGTGTGACACACGGGAAGGGGTCTGAGTCAGGGCTCCCAAGAGCAAGGAGAACTGCCTCCTCTCTCCTTCCTGCTTCTGGAAGCCACTCCTCGCAAGCAGGGTCCTCTGCTGACAGCCACCTACCCTGCAGTTAGGTCCTGTCCTTTCTCAGCTGAGACAGGAGGGACAGGTGGCCCATGCCGGAAGCAGTGGCTGCGGCACAGGAGCAGGGGGGGATCCTGGTCGAGAGCCCAGAGCTGCCATGTGACAAACAGGAGGCCAGGTATTAACAGGTGGGTGAGAAGACAGGGCCTGGCTGCCTGCTTGGGGAAGCGGCCGTTTTGAAACCAAGGCGGCAAGGATCACAGGGAGAGCGTGCACGGTGGGGAGGGCATATTTTGAAGAGGAGGAGGAAGGAGCTGTTTTGGAATTGGGTGTAAAGCCATTTGTTTGGAGGGATGCCAGGGTAACAGTAGGTGCCCAGAACAAACGCGCACAGACATCCCAGCACTCAGCGCCCGCATGCTCGTCCTTCGCAGTACCTAAGTAGGTCAGCCCATTTCTTCAACCTTTCCTCTTCCCTTTCTCACTTGCTCTCTTTGTGGGAGGTGGCGGTGGCGGTAGCAGAGGGGCTACACCCGTTTTCACTGATTTCCAACACTGTCTACGTGTGAACAAGAGAAGCGGAGAGAAGCTAAAGCTGCTTTCTTATTAACAGCTGGTGACAGTCCCTTTACACAGTGCGTGTTGCATTTCTTAGCCGAGGTAGAAAGGAATGAAAGAGGAAGGCGGTTATTTAAAGTTTAACATTACAGATGAATTACAAGGATATTCTGAGGCTCACAGTCCCCCTCAGCAACTCTGCGAGCCCCGAGGCTGGCCTCGCCACACCTTTGCAAGCAACTATTTTAGGCAAGTGTGCTCATCGGGTTCGGGAGGACGACAGCTCCAAGTAATTCTGGGATGCAGGTTTCGCACCACAGGATGCCAGCGGGATCCAGTGAAGGTTATGGACTGTCTAGCCTGAACTCCATCTGTGCCCTGAAGTTTCCTCTTGGCTGGGCACCACTGAAGGACCAGAAGCAGCCAGTAGGAAGCAGTAGGCACAGGGGCTCATGGGGAATTCAAGCCATCTGAACGTGGCACTCAGTTTTTTAAGATAACGTTTTTTAAACACTGTGAACATATTGCACCCAATTATAATTGTGTTATGTACTCCATGCCGTGCTATGAGTGCATGCCTCCTCCCAGCTACGGAGGGGCAAATACGACATACATACAAGTGCGCTGTGTTCTCCTAGGTAGCTTCTCCCAGCCTGTGTATCGTGGTAGTATTTGCGTGCCTCCCAGTAGGGCACTGAACTGTGTGGCTAACATCTGCCACGTGCTGTTTGTTCTGTCCTCCTCTCCCAAGGAAGGAGGTGAGTGTACTGGAGCATCTTGCTTTTGCGGCACATTTGTTCAGCTTTTGCTCTCCCTGCATGCAGAGCCATGTATTTGCATTAGCGAAAGTAAGGGCACAGAAATGTGTCCTGCAATTGAAAATGCCTTTATTTCAGTAAGGGGAATTACGGGTAATTAAGTCAAATTAAAAAGGGAACGGAGACTTGATTTTCTTTATTCTCAGCATACTCTGTTTGACAAATGGGTCTTAACCACAGATGACAGTATTAGCTTCAGCCTCTCAGACAAGGAAATCTTGGCTGCTATTCCCTCTGCCCATTTATCTACAATAAATTTAAAGACACATGTTCCCCTTCCTGGACAAACACTCTTCAACTCTTTCATTTACCTAACAGTAGAATATGCTTGAAATCTTTTTATCTGTGCCCCTTTTCCCTTTCTTTGAATGGGCAGCTTTCTACACTATACCCTCCATGGACCTTGCCAAACACTACCAGTTTCTGTACACAGCTCTGTTCCGTGGCAGTTTGGGTCTGCAAACTGAAATGTCATTTCTTGAGTCTAGAGGTAATGTCCTATGCACTGGGTGTGTGTTTTTTCAGCTCTTACATTTTGATATTTTTTTATCCAAGTCAACTTTTCAGACATTTTCTCACTATCAGTGTAAAAACAAAACCATATCTGTGTTACTGTTAACAATAAGTTGATTTATACTTTTTTCCGTGTGTGTTTGAGACAACCTTATTCTAAGAGGTTACAGTGAGAATTCCTTCATTTTAAGCTGCAGTAAAATGCTCAGTTTCTTATAATCTTTGCCACTGCCTTCCAGGTGCTCTGTCTCATCCTGCACTTGCTGGTTTGGTGATGTGATAAAAAGGAAACACAGGTTCACAAAATCATTACAGGAAACAAATAATGCCTTTAATCCTGGAAGTGTTCAGCCCAGCGGCAGCAAAGCTGAGACTTTCCTGACCTCCATCATAGCGCTCCAAAGAAGGTCAGGATCCAGCCTGTGCTGATGGAGCCTGGATTTGGAATGCTTTGGAGATGTGCTCTAGTGAGATCTGTTCTACATTTCTGAGGTCCAGCGTGGCATGTAGCCGTTCTGTGCATTCAACAACCATTAAAAGACTCAGTCCCCAAGGTTTGCAAGAATGTAAGACTGAAGTTACTTCTTTATGACTGTTCTTTCAATGTTAAAATGCTTTTAGAGGAGGAAAAATGCAGCAATAATGGGGAATAACCGAACATCAGGACAGGGAAATGCCAAATGCACTCTACAGTTGACCTGGGGCTGATGGAGGAATGTCAGTCGAGCCTGGCTGCAGGCATGCTGCAGGGTGGTGAGAGGGGGCTCCTGAAGTGGCCTCACAGCTCTGGGACAGACCTTCATTGCTGGACACCCCCCTTGCCCTCCATGGCCTCCCAACCTGGCCTCGCACCCTGCTGTGCCCTGCTGCCCATCAGCCTGCCTGCTGCTCCTGCGGAGGGCAGGAGTCAGCACGGCTCTTCCCTGCCTCCCCCTAGACATGTTTGTCTTAAATACAGCGTTTTTTCCCTTGGGCTGCCACAGATTTTCCACCCCTGCAGCCAACCAACGGCTGGTAAGGGACGTTCATTAGCGGCCATGAGGAAGGTCGTGTCTCCCAGTGCCTGGCCTTTCTGGTGAGGGAGGGCAGGCAGCAGCTTCGTGTAAAATGCCAAACAACCTTCCTTGTTTTCCTTGGTTGCCAGGGTAGGAATCGACATTGTCCCCAGCGGAGCACAAGGACTCCCCGTGACATGGTGGGGACAATGGGAAGGTATGTTTTCTTGACCTGCTGCAGGAAATCCTGTGCGTCTTGCCAGGGAACACAGCATTTTCCTGCCTTGTCTGTGGCCGAGCCGCAGCTCCAGGGGCCTGCAGCAGCCTGCTTGAAAATGCTGTGTTTTGAATCTCTCTTAAACTTTAACAGAATCAGCCCCATTTGGTGCCCAGGCAGACTAGGGTGCTGTGAAGCCACGGCTGGTGCACTGCAGCAGTGCTGGGTGCTGGTAGGGAGGCAGCCTCATCCCTCTGGGGTTGAGGGGATGATGCATGCCGAAAACAGCGCTGAGCATCGCTGCTATTACCTGGTGCCAGTTGTAGGGGCGATGCTGTCTCTCCTGCCTGGAGCTGAGCCGATCGTTTCCACTCCGCATTACTGCTGCTGTTGATTAACTGGTTTTGATTTTTTTAAAGGAACAATTCAGAAAGTGACGCATTACTTCTGCCTGTGGACAGAGGGAACAGCTGAAACGTGGGAGTCCAGACTACAGCTGTGTGACTACAGCTTTAAAAAAAAAAAAAACAACCAAAACCACATATTTTAGTGAATAAAAACTACTGATTCCCTCTGCTGGTGTTACCTACTTACCAGGGTTGTGGTGGCTGTAGTCACCACACTGTGAAAGAAAAGGTGAGACAGGTAGGAGAAGCCATGACCTCTTCACAACTGGGGGTGTTTAAACCACAGTGGTCACCCTGCCTCTCCTCCTTCCTCTGCTCCAGCCCTACATCTGTATTTTCTTGTCTTCTCTTGGTCATTACTTAGGGTCCTGTCATGCTAAGCAGCCTAACTGCCACAGATGATTGCATGCATCACGGGAACGGCGTCACTGCTAGAAAATAAATATTCACACAGATCAATTAATCTCAGAAGGGCTTCTGCAGCCATTTGGAACAGCCTCATACTCTACAGACCCATCAAATGTTAGGGAATGTGTGTGGATAATGTCTGAACAGGAAAAAATAGAACAATTTTTTTTTTCCTATGGTGGCCACGCACAGAGACAATGCCATTAAGGCTGGATAACAGACCCGTTAGAGAACATCATTAGCCATGACTCCTAATAACCTGTTTACTGACAAATCTGGGGTAACATTTTTACATGTTTCTCCTTTTTTTGCCCTAATTCCTTGCCAGGCAGGTATGAACAGGGCATGCCGATGAACTTAATGCACCCTGTATGCAAAATTCATGCTGCAAAAAGGATGCATTTGTTGGACAATTTGTTTGCAAAAGCTAATGGGGGTGGCTGGAAGCCTCCTTCTACCTTTCTCGTTTTCCCTTTCAGAAAAAATGCAGGAAGAGCAACATGTTCTGGAAACATTTGTGCCGGAATCGTGTGATTCCTTGCACTTCCAGAATCACCTCCCTTACACAAATGCCTGCGGTGAGTATATGCCATTAGAGCATGAGGGACACCTCCTTCCCTACATGCTGTCTCCTGGCAGCAGTGCAACAGGGCAGCTACTACAAGCATAAGCTTATCATTAATCTGTGGATCAGCGACACAAACAGACACGGGCTGCTCGAGAAGGAGCATGCATGTTAGCAGGACCTCACGTAAACAGCTCCACAAAACAGATGTGATATGCAACGCGCCACTGGACCTCAGCGTGGCCAAGTTTCCTCCTGCCCCAGGTAGGGCTGGCTTCTGGTCCCATGGTCAGTGGACAGGGAAACGTGTGTTGCTTTCCTGGAAGTCAGGCTTTAAACCTAGCAGCTAGAGAGTGAGAGAACACAGGAATTGGGACTTCCCTCAAGCATTTCCACTGGCATGGCGTACAGGGGTATATCCGTTGACATATCAACATCTAACCATCTACTTCTCCAGCTGTCCTTCCTACTGACACTGCACCCATCCCTGTACCCAGGTTACGAAGGGGCTCTGGGAAGAAATGTTTGCACAGGGAACGTACACAGATGTTGGGGTAGAGTTAAAAATGCTGAAAGACTTTGTTACGTGGCTTTTTGCCCTCCATCTGGTGGTTCCTTCCTTCTCTGCATTTTTTCACTTGCTCTCTTTCCTCATCTGTCCTTTGTCTCCCTCTTCACTGTGTCTGTCTTTGTGTCCTGTCCTTCTGGCCCTTGCCCTCCCTTTCCCTTCTCAGCTCTTCTGCCTTCTTCTGAGATCCCATAGCTGCTTCTGAGATCCTGTAGCTTCTTCCTAGTGCTTGGAAAATGAATAAAACCCCTGCAATCCCAACAGGAAAATAATCAAAGCAGTTGCGATAAGCAACTTGCCTCTTTGGGAGCAGTCTGACCAGTGAGTTATTCCCAGGGCTTTTGAAAATAACAACAGGCATCTTGTGTCTTTACTATTGCTGCCGTTGTGTTCTTTGCAGCAATGCTTACCAGCCAGTGGAGAATGGGGCCCCCTTATGCTTGGTGCTGCATAAATCATTTTCTTTAGCCTAGAGAAAAAAGAGAAAAAAAAAAAAACAACAAAAAACACTAAAGAAGGTGAATGTGTGATTCAAGGATTTACTGCTCAGATTGCTTTGGGGGTCTTTTATTACTCACCCTTTCCTGTGTTTCTCTCCCAGGCTACCTCTCCTGCTGGCCTAGCCCTTCACCCCACCCCATCACTCTCATGCCTGGCAGCCCCCGTCTGATTTACCTTCCATTCATTTTGTCCTTTCTTTGTCCACCCTCATGTTTCTTTTGCTGTCACTTACTCCCTCTTCTGTGTGGCCAGAATCCCCTGATTGCCTTCTCCATTCTGCAATACTGGGTAGCTTTTCATCACCTTGCTGGTGGAATCAAGAGATGCAAAATATTCAGTGTGAGGTAGACACTGAATGGTTAAAACTTGGCAAAGTTATAGAAAACTGAAAACAGGCTCTCATAGCAGAAAGTGTCAGGTACCACCAGCTCCAGCTAAATTAAATTCTGTCCCTGTAGTGTGTATGCACAGAGACATTTATATTCATATTTTTAACAGCCTTCTAAACTCTGCAGTTCACTGACAAACCCTTCATGAAGCTATCATTCCTTTTTTAACACCTGAACTTTAAAATGTCACATATAGCATTTAAAAGGACAGGCAAATAACCAAGGAAACATCCTAGCATGCATTTTACTTCCTCTCCTTATGGTTGATCTAAAGTCCGTGGAAATCAATGGCAGCCTTTCCATCTAGTTCAGCAGAGTTTGCATCCAGTAGGTTGGTTCCTCCTAAAATTTCAGATTAAAAAGACCCCACACAAATGTGTTTTTTTTTGAGTTTCCTTTTACTCATGTATCTGGCAAGACTGATGTGCTGTCAAATGATCTTTTCAGTGCTAAATATACACCATTAACTACTAATAAAAAAAAAACAGGCTTTAAGAAATCATCTCTTTTTGGCATCTGTACAGAGCATTCCACTTGATCTCACAAGATGCATGGTTTGCACTAGGATTGCAGTCACAGTTTTCTTGTTAAAGCTGTCAACCATTCCAGTGTCTATCTTTACAATGCAATTCAAACCTTGGTTAGGAAAATAGGCATTTTTGCTTGAACTATGATATAAAGATCCTTTGCCAGCCCTTTTCTGTATCCATTCGCAGGCTACAGCTCCTGTTAAAACTGGGTTGCAGTGTGAAAACACGGGAGGGAAGAGTCTGATCCATTCTGTTTGAGGCACTTCCTCTGAGTGGCAGAGATACTGTGGACATTAAATTCTTCCTTAAACATGCAAATTTTTGGAACAACATTTCATTAGAACCATTTACAAGGCGAGACTTCTCTGTCTTACCTTGTTAAGAGTTACAAAGGTAGCACCAGGGCAGAACATTGCCTTTTGACTCTCTTAAAACCAGCAGAGAAATTCTCCTGAACATTAGGTGGTTTGCCATAGCATTACATTGGTATCCAATTGGAATCGTTAGCAAGATTTGTTAATGGCATGGGAGAGGCGGAATCAAATTGATCATTGTTTTCCTGTGAAAACTCATCATCTTCTAAAGGCAAATGCCTGGAACATTTTTGACAAGCCAGTGTAAACCTTCAGTCAATATTGCATGAATCAACTTTAATGTAATGACATAAAGCAAAGGGAGAATACAGGTACCACACAAACATATGTCTTCTAATGCTTAGGCACAATGGGGAGCCCCCTTATCTGCTTCCATAATGCGCCTTATTATGCTTAAGTAATGAGTATTAGAAGCCAAGCAGTATGTTACATCTCCTCCTACATGGTACATTCCCATACTGCCTAGATACATATGAATCCTGCATGTCACATGTCATTACATTTTCTGAGACTGTATCTCCATCCATGCTAAAAATACACAGAGAGAGAGAGAACTTGAGTGTAAGCAACAGATACTTCTGCACAGACCCTTGGCAATTCCAAAGACTGAGAGATTTATACATGTGTTTATTATTCACCATTGTCTGAAGGAGAGCATTTGTGAAGATAACCTGCCCTAGGGGTTTTCACAGCAAGCACCTGCTGGGTGCCTACACCCATCCATTTCCAAGCTGGATACACTCAAAGCAAAGCCCTCTCCACCTGCCTTTTCATCTACATGGTGGCCTGATTTTCTTCTGAAGTGCTTAGTTACAGAGCCATTCCCATAAAAATAACTCCAGAGCTATCCATAAATACTCTCGCTCAGAAATCCCAAGCAGTGAACAAATCTGTGAAACTCGTGACCTGCTGGTGTCCCGCTCCTCTGCTATCGAAATACAGGGATCGCAGAGCCCAGAGCCTGCTCTGGGGAAGAGCCAGCTTTCAGCAGCCTCTATTCTGCCACCTCTCCCTTCTCCTAGCAAGGGTCCCTGCTGCAGGGCCACCCACCGACAGCACTGGGTGGCCTCCAGGAGCCCATGTTGTGATTGGGATGCAAGGCAGACTTTTTGTACCAGACCCTGCTTCTCTCCCGCTGGAAAACAGGGAAATCATTAGGGGCCTAAAGCCTCTCTCTGGTGACTTCGGCACTCGTGCTCCAGAGTCGGATTTGATCTTAAGTACGAGACAGGGGAGGAGCAGTGGTCCCTGGTGACATGTGTCAGGCAGGAACATGGCACATGCTCGAAGTACCCCGGGTGTCCCGGGCTTTTGCACTTCTGCGTGAACAGCCGAATGGGCAGACCCCTCCTGCTCGGCTGCAGCAGATGGAGCAGCGAGGCAGGCTGCGCGTCTGCAGGGCTGGGCAGTGGAGCTGTGCTCTCAAGCTCCAGCTAATGAAGCTGATTTGATGAGCTGATTATTCTTGTGTATTAGTGCGTTGCTGACATGGTGCTCCACTCTGTACCAGACACAGAAGGAAGGGTACAACATGGGCCCCCTACCGGGCTTTCCACCTAGGCGAATGGACCAGACGATCCAGAAACACAGGGTTCTTGGGTGATGATGAGGAGGAGACGGAGCCCTTCTTTGTAACAGAGTGCTGCAGCTTTCTGAGCTGGAATGTAGCGGCATTCCTAATTTAGATACTCTGGTTGAATTTTAAGTGGAAGGGAACAAAACATTTGAAAAGCTGTCCCTGTTCTCTCAGCAGGAAGACTTCAAGAATTTTCTGGGTTTGGGGAAGAAATGCTGGCACAAAACCAGCCAGAGTTTTCCCAGGTAGAGATGTG